ATTATATAAAAATTAAAAAGAAATGCAAGTACTCTTGAGGAATTGTCAGAAGGGACCAACATGCAGAGTGAACAATCTATCCTGTACAATAATACCCTTTATTTTTTAAAATTTATTTATAAGAGTCTCTGATGGCACTAAAGCTTCTTCCAAGCATCTTTGGGATGGACCCACATCCCCAGTCTCCCCTTCTCTGTTTTATCCCAGTGAGATATGTAGATAGGCTGTGTGTGCGTGCATGCGTGCGTGTGTGTGTGTGTGAGAGAGAGAGAGAGTTCTTCAAGATGAGCGAGTTCTGGTGAGTGAAACCCAGGGCTGTCTAGTCATCATTTGACCCAGGAATGGACCTGGGTATTGAAACATACCAATGAAAAAAGGAAAAAGAACTGTGACAATTTAGCGCTTGGTAATATATTCATAAATCATAATATGCAATAACAGAAAATAGGTAATATATATAGTGAATGTAGACGGTGGTCTCCATAATGGCATTCAGCAATTATAGCCCATTGAAGAACATAGCTGTAATCATAACTTTATGATGAAGTGAATCAACCATACATTTCCAATACGTCACCAAGAGAAATGTATTGTTGAAAGACAGTTTATGTATACATCCTTGTTCGGAAGAAGATCATTGTCGAAATGGCACACCATTCCGGAGACCAGAATAAGAAGCAAAAGGTGGGTGTGGCTGGATGAGCACACTTCTGGTAACACAGGGGTGTGGCCTCATATGCTAATGAGCTGTGCTGTCAGGGGTGTGGCCTAATATGCTAATACGTTTCTGATGTTGGGTGTGGCCAATTATGCTAATGAGTTCCTGCTGGGCTTTTTCTACAAAAAAAGCCCTGTGTGTGGTAATGTCTAAATGACAAATGCATTTGTACCCAATGTGGACCCAATATCATGCTTACCTTGCCCACTGGAACTTTGGTCTTTAAAGTCACTTAGTGCAGAGGGCCCTACACAGCTTGGATAATAAAACAATATGCCCCAGGAGAGCTTGCTGAACTAAAGGAAGGGGAGCTGCCCATTGCACCATCCTCTCCCCTTGTGACATGAGCTGGTGCCATTTTGGGGGCAATTCCGCCCAGGCGGACACACATTTAGCACAGCATTGCTTTAAAGCGAGTGCATTCCGACAAGCCAAGAAACTGCTGGTGCAGAGTCAAGGAAACCAGGGCAGAGTCAAGGAAATGCAGAGCAAGAGACAGACATAGCGCCTGTCAGCGGATCTGGGTGGCAAGCACAAAGCCGCCCCCGTTGGCCAGGCCGCCTCGCTTTGCGTGTGATCGTGCCGTGCCCAGTTTCTCATCGGTTGCGCAGCGCTCTCTTGCTCTATTGGATAAGGGGAAGCCGTGGTGACGGCCTCTTGTTAGCCGAGTTCTATTTATTTCATAATACGAGGCCACATTAAGGGAGTATTCTGCAATAATCAGATAACTGTAAATCCCACCAAATATTACGCTGTGCTTACATTTAATTAAGAACTGGCTATTTGTACTTCACAGACAAGCGCTCCCGGAGGTCCTAAGGCGGGAGGAAAAAATGAGAATTCTCTCGAGATACGTCAGTCTGCGCTTCCGCCGTGCCCCTGCCTTTCTCTGGATGCAATTATATGAGCAAATAGAATGTCTTTTCCAGAGTCCCTGCGTGGACCAGCCTCTCCTTGCTGATAAAGCTAATTGTGCAAGCCATAATTAAATGAGGGGCCCAGCATTTAACCAAACTTAATAGTCTGTTGCTTTGGAGCTTTTGTGGGAGTTATGATTTCAATAAGGATGAGATGAGGCTTTTCAGGAACAAGTTTGAATACTCATTGAACCATTAAACCCCACCTGCTGAAATATCTATGGGGGGGGGGGAACCCTCATTAATTGGAAACTGACAGGGTTTTGTGATGCGGCCGCTCCTTTTGAATTCATCGGAGAGAGGCGCAGGGGCTCAGAATAGGATGATGAGTTGCAGGAACTTATTAACTCGGACGCATTCCCCGCCCTGTTCTGAGTGTGGTCCAAGCAGAGGAGGACCCGAGGGAAGAAAAGTAATTCTGAACTGATGAAAATTCCCAAATTTCCGCTTCTCGTTAATTCAGCAGCTTTCACAATCAAATGCACTGACTGATCTTTGTTCTAGTCGAGATACTCGCGAGCGAAAAGGGATGCCCAGTGGAGGGGGTGTCCTTTGACTCGGGGCTCTGGCAGGGACGGAGAAGGCTGAGGGCCAAACTAGGTGATACGGCAGACCTGGCGATGCCCTGGCAGGGTCGCCAACCTCCAGGTGGTGGCTGGAGATCCCCTGGGATTACAGCCGACAGAGTTCAGTTCCCCTGGGGGAAATGGCCACTTTGGAAGGTGGGCTCTGTCGCGTAATACTCTGTTGAAGTCCCTCCCTCCCCAAACCCCACCCTCCCCAAACCCCACCCTCCTCAGGGTTCACCCCCCCAAAAAAGTCTCCAGGTATTTCCCCATCCAGAGCTAGCAACCCTTCGCCTTGGGGACACGCTGCCGTGTTACCACTGTAATTCCCACACTTTACAAATGCCGTGGAGACCTGACCCTGCTCGGGGCCTTGGCACAGGGCAGAGGAGGAGCCATTTGGAAGAATCCAAAAACCCTGAGTAGAATCAGGTCTCCACGACATTTGCAAAGTGAGGGGATTCGAGCAGTGATGCAGGGAACGTTGTATCATCTAGTTTGGCCCTCGTTCTCCCCCCCTCAAACATCACTGGATGCAGGGTTCCCCTTTGAGCAATATGGCCTCCCAAGCATGATCAACGGGCCCAAAGACATCTCCTTCTACCCTGTGTGCCGAAAACTGGAGCCGTGCTGAATATTCTCTAGTTTCAGACTTGGGGACAGAAGCGAGTGTTTCAGGAGGGCGCATATTTTCCCCGATCAAAGCAGATCAGGTTATGGTGGTGGTGGAAGGTATCGTCAAGGCGAGAGATGAACAGAGGCGGTTTGCCATTGCCTGCCTCTGCGTAGCAACCCTGGGCTCCCTTCGTGGTCTCCCATCTAAGTACTCACCAGCCCCCCCTCCCCCTGCTTAGCTTCCGAGATCTGACGAGATGGGGCTAGCCCAGGCCGTCCAGGTCAGGGCAATTTAGAATATTTCCCCATCCAGCACCATTGGCTGTTTCAAGCTCTTCGGCGATTCTGTAAATCAAGTTAAAATATTAAATATTGAAAAAATACACGTAGCTATTACAAAGTAATTTAAAAACAGATACAGGCCCTGGTGATAGCCTCAGTTATGAATCAAGCTAGTACAGTGACGAGAGAAAATAACAGTTATTGACCCTGACCATATGCGTTTCGGACCATTAGCCTTCCTCAGTGGCCAAACAAATGATATTACAGAACGACTCCTGGCATTTTAGTACAGCAATCACTTATAAATTGACCAAAATGTAGAGATTATGTAGAAGAAGGAGATTGGATTTATAACCCCATCCTTCACTACCAGAAGGCGTCTCAGAGCGGCTTACAATCTCCTTTCCCTTCCCCTCCCGACAACAGACACCCTGTGAGCAGTGTTCCCTATAAGCTGAGTTAGTGTGAGCTAGCTCACAGTTTTTTAGCCTCCGGCTCACATTTTTTCTTAGTTCAGGGAGGACGGCTCCAGAGCAAACTAATTTATGCAGTAGCCAAATCACTTGCTTACAACTTTAATGCCAGTAGCTCACAAAGTAGAGGTTTTGGTCACAAGACTCCACAGCTTAGAGGGAACATTGCCTGTGATGTAGGTGGGGCTGAGAGAGCTCTTTCGAGGACTGCTCTTGAGAGAACAGCTCTGAGAGAACTTGTAACTGAGCCAAGGTCACACCAGCAGCTGCATGTGGAGGAGTGGGGAATCAAACCCAGTTCTCCCAGATTAGAGTCCATGCTCCTAACCACTACACCAAACTGGCCAGGATTAGGTTGCAGTGTTATTTTGCCAGTTCAGTTTGGCTATGTGATGAGGTCACTGAGTGGGAATGAAGGCAAGCAATGACCGTGCAGATGTTAACATTTTTGCAAACGATGGTAAAAACCTCTGCAGCAAAAAAACCCCACAACCAACCAACCCCTGCTGTCAGTTGCAGCTCAGCCTTCATTTGATACCGCTTGTGGTCATTTGTCTTGGAAAACTGGTCTTGGAACGGCCTTGTTCTCAATTGATTTTAACAGAGTAATCAAACAGAGGCAGCAACCGCATGACAAGTCAAGAGAGGAGAAGGTCAGAATTGATCTCTGTGTCGAGAGCAAGTTTCAGAAACACTAAAAAAGTAACTCCCATTGAACTCTGTGCCTCAGAAAAGAATCCTTAACTGGGATTGTCTGTTGAGGGGGAAATGCCCCTGCTGCTTTTTAATGACCCTGTCTGTAAGGAGGCTGGATTTCTAGGAACTGTTTTAGAAAGTTTGTATGGAGGTGGTTTGGACTGTTTTTCAATTTGTAATTTTAATTTATAAATGGCTGCCAAACAAGATCTACAAAGGAAACTGCAGAAAGATCCCTGCCCAGGCCCCTAGATAAGGTGGGGCTTTGGGGGGCTCTGCCCCCTTTCTTAAAGGCACAGCCCCACAATAATTTCTCATGTAAATGCAATTATTTTAAAACATTTTAAAGGTGTGCACACCTTTAAGCAGAGTGGGGTGCTGTAGTTGACTAATTCCCACACTGAGCAAGGGGGTTGGAGTAGGTGACCTCTAGGATACCTTCTAACTCTGTGTCACAAAACTGGTCTCCTTTAAGAGAGCTTTTCTGCCTAAGTGTTAACTTTCTTGTCTATAGAGGTCATCACCCCCACCTGCCAGCTTGTTATCAGAATTGTTGCTTAGACTGGCAGAAGTGATTAACTTGCAGCGGCTGAGAACTGTCATTTAAAGTGGCTGACAGCTTGCAATTTAGAGATCTATCCTGGTAACAGCTTTCTATTGGCTAAATGGCTTCTCTTTCTGCACTGAGAACTTCAGCCCCACCAGAAAAATATTTGCCACAAAATCCAAGTGTGAAGACATGTTTGTTTACAACTCCTAAATGGCTTTTTACATCAAAAATTCATATTTTCCAGTGCCCTATTCCAGCTAAGGGTGTATGCATAGGGAAGCAGGAAGTTTGGGAGTGGGTGGGTGGTGGAGAGAACATGATTTAGCATGTGCCACACTCTGCATCTCATCTTTGCATCTGACTGGAGCAGTTGGTGAATTCCTGAAAGGCTAGACAGAATTAGTATGGAAGATGGATGGTCGTAATGGCTACATGTAATCATTAGAAACTTTTTTTATGTGATACAAAATTTAGCCACTATCTACTTCTTAACTTGGCATCAGAGTGCGGATCAAAAAACCCACACAATGGAGCCACGTACAGAGAGAGGAGATGTTTCTACAAACTTAGGGAACCCTTTGTTTTGTAGGAGAATCTTAAACTCACATGACCTTCCAAGATCTCAGCAGCCATTTTGGATTGCTTGGGCAAACTAGAATGGCTGCGGAGACCTTGTGATATTGCCTTGCCCTGCAAGATTTCAGTGGTCATTACTTGCTATGAAAGAGGGCAAGCCAGGGATGAGGAGTGTGTGGGTATGATGATTGGGCGGGAGAAAATGGGAGGGGAGCATAGCCAGGAAGGAAAGAAAATGAAGGCGAGGGTAGGAAACGGGGTTGGAGGGAGAAAATTCCCCTCCTGTTGAGGGTCTGTCATGTACCTGTATCATTTGCCCTTTGTATAACAGGTTGGCTGTGTGTTTGTTTTGGTTCCTGTTCTTTCAGAACTCTTTGATCTGGAGTTAAATGAACAAGTGCAGAAGATGGTCAATGAAAGGCAAATGCCTCGAGTAGAATACAAAGATATCAAGATTCACGATTACAGTAAGTTGCCAGTCTTTTGTTCTCTTGAATGTACAGGAAGGAAGTGTTCTTATTCTTCCTGATACTGATAATATACATCTCCTCTTATATTTGATCCTCCACCAATTTATAGAAAAATGAAGCAACAATGCCATACCTACTCTTTGTAACTTCTGTAAATTAAAGCCCCACATGTTGGGGATTCCTAGTTCTCTTCTGTGATAGAAAACAGTGTGTCCCTTCCTTCTCCTATACAGGCCTTCTCAGAAGAAGAGACCTTGATGTATCTTCCCTCTTTTCCAGATAGGAGATTGGTTGGGGCATTGAATAGGGTCTTTTCCATACTGGCCACTATCCTGTGCAATTCTTTGCATAGAGAGATCTATCAAGCCACATCCTTGTTTTCTGTCCATGGCCAACTGAAAACATTCTTTGATCCAAGCATTTCCTTGGCTAGCAATGTTAGTTCCTTCATTTTTTGATTGTATATTTATGTTCTATATTATTTGGGGTTGGATCCTGTGACTGCCTTCCACCAAGTCTACTTCTCTTGGAGAAAGGGTTCCTCCAACACCAAGAGAGTGTTCGTCATCGCAGAAAGTCTCCTTGAGAAAAAATTTCTCCATTGGAGGCAGACTTGTCGAAAGGGTGTCACAGTGTCAAACCCAATATATTTTACAAGCATGTCAAATTTACTGTTGTAAGTTACCTTGAGAGCTTAGAGCCAAGTGCCTAATATGTTTATAAAGCTTAAAATAGATGTTTGAAAATCCCCTGCAGTTGCATGAAGTATTCTGCTGTCCACAGTAAGAGGCACGAGTACATGCAGAACAGACAACGGCTTTATGTCTGGTATCTTTAGACTGGAAGCACATGCATTCTTAGCAGTACAGTTACACCCTTCTATGTCTATTGAACTCTGTGGGCTTCTGTAAATATTGTTCCTTTGGAGGTACATATGTTGCCGTAGAGCAACACCAAGGTAAGGATCTCAGCAGTCGTCGATATGAAGATGTTTTTCACTTGGTGAATGTTTCATATCTTCAAATATTTTATATGAGCCTCTATCCAGTAAGTATATCATTAGACCTTACTTTTGCTAAAACCAAACGATGTTGTGTTACTATCGATAGATAATGTGATCACTCACAAACAAGGGAGGGTTTTCTGTAAACTTGGTGGCCTCCCCAAGTAGACAGAAAAATTTCAGTTTGTAAAGGAAGGGGAGAAAGCCCCCAGAATGGATGGGAAACGATGAGCATGTTTATTGTCCTCCAAGAACCAAAGAATGTTGAAGGCAGTTGAGGTTCTCTTTTTAAAAAAAACAGGAAACAGGAGAAATTGGCCTGCTTTAGATCTTAGGTAAAGGTTTCCCTTGCTCGAAAGCCAGTTGAATCCGACTCTAGGGATGCAGTGCTCATCTCCATTTCCAAGCTGAAGAGCCAGCACTGTCCGAAGACGTTTCCGTGGTCATGTGGCCGGCGTGACTAGACGCTGAGGTGCACAGAACGCTGTTACCTTCCCACCGAAGCGGTACCTATTTATCTACATGCAATGTCTTGCTTTCGATCTGCTAGGTTGGCAGGAGCTGGGACCAGAGATGGGAGCTCACTCCGTCCTGCAGCACACTCGGGTCACGAACTGCTGAACTACCGACCTTCCACAGCCTGCAGTTCAGCGTCTTAACCACTTGAGCCACCACAGCTTCGCTTTAGATCTTAGCACTTGACAATATACTGGAGGTGGCATTTGTCTTAGGGACATGTGCATGTATCTCCCAACCCTAATTTCTTCCTTCATCCCCCGTTCCGAGATTCTACAAATTTTTAAGGATTCTGACCCCTTTGCAGCTGAAAGACGCTGGCGGGGAGAGACTTTTAAGATCAGATGAAAAGTGCTTCCAAACGGATGCTCTTCCAGTTGGACAGTGAGAAGATCATTTACGGCATCCTGAAACAGACTGTGAAATGAGAGTTGGGGGGTGCGTGCACACAGCCCGGTGGGGTTTTACTCTTACAATATCAGGATGAAAGTTACCACTGATCCCTCACAAGTCCCCAGCCTGGATGTCATATAAGCCATGGGGCATTTGTGTTCTGGACTCAAAGGCAACACTAAAAAAAAATGTGTTTTTGTCACCCGGAGTGCTGCAGAATTTATAATTGGTTTGCACACCATTACTATTTATGGAGCCACACTTCCTATTTTAGGACAGGCCCAGCTATAAACTCCATTTCCTTGTCACAGTCCATTTGGGACGCAGCGTGAAGAAGGCACAGTTGCTGCCCAGGGTCGGTGAGATTGTCTCTCCGCTGAGTTCGCCGGCACATAGTGTGGGCGTCACCTAACCGACAAAGCAGTAAATATGTGGCCGACGGTAATTGGACGGCCACTTGCGTGTAACCCTCCAGTGTTTCAGAGGCCTCATAAACACTCCTTCGTATCTGTACCCGCACAGCCCTTGCTTTATGTATATTTAAAGCCAAGCGGCTTTCTATGGGAAGTCACGGGGCTAATGATACACATCTGCCACCCGTTAGCCAGTTTGATGGAATAATTAATTAGGCAAGAGTGTCAGGGAAAGATTGTGAAGCAAACTGTTTAAACCCATTAGCTCGTGTGGGTTTTAACCGTATCCGAAATGCTGCCGATGCCGGCTTTAATGGTCCGGCCTTTGGTAGTGGGCACACGAGGTTGACATTTTATACACCAATTAAGGCAGGAGGCATCTCCTGCAATGATGGGCGGGCAACCGATACGTGCCCAAGGTAAAGTGGGGCACAGCCAGACAGTATTTCAGCATGCACAGGCTTAGGCCAGTAAGAAGGCATTCATCTCCCACCAATGCTCTTCCTAATTTATGCCATCCAATTAAGTCTTTCCTGGTTCATTTTAGGCAATCTGACCAGGGCAAGCCAAGCTGCGTTCAGCCCCCCTGGAGTTTAAAATGAACCACAGCAGAAACTCTTTGTCTTAAAAGCCCCTAAAGCGAAGAAGGGAAACGACCCCTCTTCTGTTTGCCATGGTGCGTTTTCATTTTGCTCGGCTTCAGTCTTTCCTTTCCTCCCTCCCCTGGCACTTCCCAAATATTGGTTCATGGAGCTGTCACTTTCCACCTGCCTAAAGGGAGAAATAATATATATTGCTGGCTGCTAATTATATGTTTGGTGCACGGCCGTGCGTCTCAGAGCACCCCGGCTCTGGATTTCTTGTCATCATGGATATTACAGTGCCGCTTTTCTCTCTGAAAGCATCTATTCTGCTAGGTGGTTATTTGCCAAGCTATTTTATCAAACGTCATTTTATTCCCACTGAGAAGTACTCACAGTGTTACAAAGAAGCCTATTCAGTCTAACTGCCATCTTCCCAGATGTAAATGCTTTCCTCCTCCCTCCCAACCACCCCTCTTTCTTTCTTTTTCTGTCTTTATCTAGAATTGACAATGCAAATTTTAAAGCCGGCCATCTTCATGGAAAACATGCATTATCCATTACTTCTGGTGGTGTGAGTAACATGATCAATTGCTTAATTTTCCGAGTGTATCCAAACACGCAGCCAAGGTTGCAATTTGCAAGATGGGAAGGGAAAAAAAGGACATCTAATACCTACAAATGTCCCCTTTTGATTTTGTAAATTCTGGCTGCCGCAGGAAGCCAAACCAAAACATGGCAGAGAGGAAATCTTAGTGGGAATGCAACTGGCCAGAGGCAGAGCCTGAGCATGTTACTGGGTTGAAGTAGAGCAGGATTCCCCAACCTGGGGCCCGCCGACACCTTTCCTGGTGCTGGCCAAGTGCTTTCATAAAGTGGGCAGGGCTGAGGGGGGTTAGCAAGGTTTCTGATCGGCTGTGCAGATTAAAAGGCAGCCTGTAAACAGAACACCTACCTGAAATGTCGGAGAGGTATTAGTAGACTTATGTACAACCTCGCTTCCTGACATTTTGAGGTGGGCTTGTTCCACACCCTGTGGCAACCGTTTTGTGATTGTGCCCACTGCCCCATATCAGAGTTCCAAAGGTGTCCACAGGATCAAAAAGGTGGGAGACCCCTGGAGTAGAACCTTGCAGAATCTGGAGTTGGCCCGTTCTTTGGACCCTAGTAGTAGTTACCTATTCAGCACGATTAAATAGTCAAAAATATATTCATGATGGTATTAATATAAGTGTGACCAAAATTTTGGGGAACCACGTGCAGTTCTTCAAGCCACTGTGGTACAACAGGAAAGGGGGCGAGAACAAGGGGAAAAGGGGTTTTGTATATAAATGCCTGCACATTTCAACAAATACTTGGACGAATCTGCCTTATGCTCAGTCAGACCATTGCTCCATCTCAGTCACTGGTAGTGACTCTCTGGGGGGGGGACTCAGGCCGAGAAAGGCCTTTCTCAACATCAGCTACCTGACATCTTTTACCTGGCGATGCCTGGGATCAAACCCGAGGCTTTCAACATGGAGATCAGGAGTTCTACCACAGAGCTGCAGCCCTTCATCTTTCCATCAGCAGTCAAGGAGCAGGCGGTTAGTTGTCCCCTTCCTCATCATATATAGCCCACCTTGTGTCACACAAGGGAGGAAAGGCGGCATGATATAGGCCAATCTCATCACATCTCAGAAGCTAAAGAGGGTTCGTACTTGGAAGGGAGACCACCAAGGAAGGCTCTGCAGAGGAAGGCCATGGCAAACCACCTCTCCTTCTCACTTGCCTTGGAAGCCCCTTGCTGGGGTCACCATAAGTTAGAAGGTAAGCAGGGTCGGTACTTGGAAGGGAGACCACCAAGGAAGGCTCTGCAGAGGAAGGCCATGGCAAACCACCTCTCCTTCTCACTTGCCTTGGAAGCCCCTTGCTGGGGTCACCATAAGTTAGAAGGTAAGCCAGTAAGCCTGCCTGCCAGGGACTTGCCTAGTAGTGTTGCCAACCTCCAGATGGTGGCTGGAGATCTCCTGGGATTACAACTGATCTCCAGGCAACAGAGATCAGTTCACCTGGAGAAAATGGCCGCTTTGGAAGGTGGACTCTGTGGCCTTATACCCCATTGAAGTCCCTCCCCTGCCCAAACCCCACCCTCCTCAGGCTCCACCCCCCAAATATCCAGGTATTTCCCAACCTGGAGCTGGGCAACCCTATCGCCTCATCTTTGGGGAATGCCGTAAGTCAGCTGTGTGTCAGTGAGATGAAGGCTTGCCTCTGTCTACAGTCCGCTTCCTCCCCCTGGTGCCCAGGCGTCAGCTTCTCTGTAAGTCCTACCCACCAAATATGGAAGCAGTCACAATGTCTCTGCCTCCTTGGGTCCTTGCCGCTTCGTAGTGCATCTAGGGTAGCCTCGTGCAAAGGAGGGGAGGGCTCGTGGGCCTTTTAGCATCTGTCTAGAAGAGGGAGTCTTGCCTGGTGAAGCGTGTGGTGCAGAAGTGAGAAAGGCTACGTTTGCCACAATTCACTCTGGTTCGCCATTCCTAGCAACACAAGAGCCACGGTCCCCTTTGGCCATCGCAAGGCTATCCCAAGACGCCTCTGAGCCTGAAACAAAAACGCAGATATCACGACTTACACACACACATACAAATGAACACGGCACACAATTCACCAGAAAGTGCAGGGCCTGTTACTCCTGTGTGTTCCTGTGGGGCTTGCACAAGAGCACTTCAGTCTGTACCCTGCAGAGGCACAGTCTAAAGTGCTCTCATGCAAGCCCAACAGCACTTTGGAGTCTGTGCCTCACAAACCAGATCTGAGCCACTGCGGTCAATGGCACCCAACATCCGCCGTATGCAACAGCTGCCTCCAGTGTTCCCTCTAAGCTGAGTTAGTGTGAGCTAGCTCACAGTTTTTTAGCCTCTGGCTCACACATTTTTGTCTCAGCTCAGGGAGGGTGCCTCCAGAGCAAACTAATGTATGCAGTAGCCAAATCGCTCACTCACAGCTTTAATGCCAGTAGCTCACAAAGTAGATTTTTGCTCACAAGGCTCCACAGCTTAGAGGGAGCACTGGCTGCCTCATCTTTCCTCATTGCAGAGCCCCCATTGGTCACCCCGGGTGGAATCTGGGAAAGTTTTCCTAACTAACAACAGCAATAAACATGATAGGCCCTGTGAATGAATGGACCTGCAGGTCTCTTCTGTTCCTTTTAGTTGGTTCCTAGTAGGCAGGGGAAACTTCATGGCCATCCCAAGTCTCCAAAATATAAGTTTAATAAATGACCACACATGTTCAGATCAAACACTTCAGGCTGAGCAAGGGAGCAAAGAACAGGTGAAAAACATACAGTTCCCTTTAGTCTCTGCTCAGAACTTATCCAAAACTTTGTAAGTTGAAGACCAGCTAGCTTTCCTTGACGCTGCAGTAGGTTAAAGTTGATCATTGCATTAGCTCTCTGGACTAGGTCTTCTTAGCCTCATGGATAAGATGGAGTCCCCAAGTAAAAGCTTAGTCCTGCAGGGCACATGGCTCCCTGGTCAGGAACTGCAGGGAAAGATCAAGATGGGTAGCTGTGTCAGTCTGTCTGTAGCAGTAGAAAAGAGCAAGAGT